AGATCGCCAGAACAGCATCAACTTCATCACCCGTCACCACGCACATCAACTTAACTACTGAACTACTAGCAACAACCGAGGGTGAAGCCAGTGCAAAGAAAGAGTCATTTACAGAGTCTCCCATATCGGAAACGAGCGGATCATCAAATCCTAAAGATAGCTTCGAGAATATAAGCGGAGATATCAGAGTGAGCACTTCAATGCCAGAACGTACACCAACAAGTGTTGTAAAACAGAGTTCACAAACAGCTGCTATAACTCCTAGAGGATTCGTCGAAGTAGATCCGTTCTATATCGACGAGACAGAAGACTTGGGTGGTACTTCCGCAACCGGATCAGAAGCGGGGAGTACAAAAAGAACTTTTGAGCCAACCGCAGCCAGCACTGGAAGGGTACACACGTCGTCAAGTAGTTCCTCTCTAGATTTTTCAACAGAAACTTCTATCTTAACCGAATTTACGCTGGAACCTAAGGACGGGAAATCAAGTTCGGCGGGTGCATTATCCGCAGAATCTGGCACCGTTAAGACTACACTGATCCCCTCAGAGTCTACTTCTAGTAACATTGACAACGAAGGCACGTCAGGCTCCGTTGGAACATCTACAAGTCTGGGGGCAACAATTACAACGCAGTGGCCTCTTGATTCTCACACGCTGGGATCAAAAGAGAAAGAGTCCACATCGGGTTCCAGTAAAGGTCCTGCAGAACCCAGAGTGACAGCATCCACAGAGCGACTTACTGAGTCTACTCCATCAAACGCTGACAAGCAAAGTACGGTAACTTCCCCTGAATCTGTTAAGGCATCCATAGAAACAGACACAACACATCTGCCCTCTGAAACCACAACCTTAAACTTGAGAAAAGTGGAGCGTATGTCAAGTCCAAAGGCTCCCACATTTACTACGGAAATTCCAAAAAGCTCCTCTGAGCCTACTTCAGCTAAGTTCACAAACCAGAAACCTTTCGAAACCACTACTGCAATTTCTGACGAAGAGCAAACTGAGCCAACCTTTACTGAAAGCCCTACAGGGTCAAAAGAAATAGCCATCACGCAAAGGTCCACGGAAGTTTCGACGCCAGGGCAAAGAGAGGCTATGTTTAGCCATAAAGCAGAAACTACGTCACCTCAAACACTAGAGGTCACAGAGCGTATTTCAGATTCCACTTCTGAGGCCCCTGAAAAGCATGAAAGCTCTCCTGTAACACTTATTAGCACGCTAATATTTGACACAACTCGGTCTACTGGGCCTCCTCCACTGGATTCAAGAATGCAGAGCACATCAGTTCTTAGTACAACTTCATCAGAGATTGAAACAATGGGTGCTACACATAGTCCACTCCAATCTACCTCAGACGGTCCTGAGAAAACCACTGCAGCAAGCTCAGTGGTAACTCCTATAACATCGGAAACGCTGTCTTTGGGATCCACATCGAGTCCAACTGAGGGAGAGCTTACGCCAAATCCAAGCGCATCTTCCTCAGAATCTGCAACAGTTGAGACCAAACAAACCTCTTCTCAGCCTAGAACAATTAGCGGACATGAAGTAAGTGCGAAAATCTCATCTACAACAACAGGAGAGGTAGCTACCAGACAAGGATCATCGGAATTTACGCCGTCACCAAGAACGCCTTCCGCAACATCTCCAACCAGTGAGACTATGCACAGTTCCAAATCCACCTCCACCGTACGTGAGCAGGAAGAGGTCACGGTCATTGCTTTTACGACAGCAGGAGAAGTGGGAACCACTCAGAGATCCCCCGAACGTCCAGTACTAGCATCGAGTGAGAAAGCAATGCTAACTTCAAATTCATTTCCCACATCATCTTCAACAACGGAGAGCTCACACAGCTCCTTTGAGCCCATCTCAACCACCAAACACGAAGAAGGCTCCAGAACTTCTGCAACAACCGCTGAAGCGGAGACCACGCAAAACGCTTCAGTACGTCCAACATTAGCCTTAAGTGACAAAAAACCTATGCCTCCAAGTGCATTGCCCACATCACTTCCAACATTAGCCTCAAGTGACAAAAGACCTATGCCTCCAAGTGCATTTCCCACATCATCTACAACTATAGAAAGCACGCACAGCACGTTTGAGCCCATTTTAACCACTGAGGAGGAAAAAGGCACAGATACTTCCACATCGTCAAAGATCACGCAAGAGACTACAGCAGGTCCAACGGCCTCAAGTGAGGAGCGCACTTCTCCAATTGCATTTGCCACATCATCTACAACAACAGAGAGCACACACAGCACGTCTAATCCCATCACTGAGAGGGAAAAAGGTACAAGTATTCCTACATTGTCTGAGACCACAGAGACTTCAGAACATTTAACAATGACTTCAAAGGAGAAAGAGCGCTTACCATCTCCGAATCCACTTCCCACACCATCTCCGAAAATGGAAATGAGCACTGACACAGGGCTCACTTCAACCGCTCGGCAAGAAAGGGATAGGAAGACTACCACATTAGCCGGAGAATCGGGGTCCACGCAAGAGACTTCTGAAAGTTCAACACGGGCCCCGAGTGACGAAGAGCGCAGGTCATCTCCCAATGAGCTTCCTACGTTATCTCCAACAACGGAGACCACACAAAGAGGATCTATGCCATTTTCAACCACCCGTGAGCAGCAAAAAAGCACAGAAACTTCTGCAACAACTAAAGGGCAGGACGTCACGCAAGATTCGGAACTTCCAACTGCCTCGGGTGATAGAGTGGGTACGCTCTCCACAAGTACACTTTCCACAGCATCTTCAACAATGGAGACACAATCCCTTGAGCCCGTCTCAATGATGAAGCAGGATGAAAGCACGAAGACTTCTGCAACAACCGGAAAATTGGAGACCACGCAAAAGACTTCTGAGAGTCCAACTGTCTTGGGTGATAGAAAGGCTACGCTGTCCTCAAGTGCACTCTCCAAAGCATCTCCAACGATGGAGACACACATATCCTTTGAGCCCGTTTCAATGACGGAGCAGGAAAGCACCAAGACTTCTGCAACAACCGGGAAAGCAGAGACCACACAAAAGACTTCTGAGCGTCCAACACGCCCGAGTGAGAAAGAGCGTACGTCATCTCCCAGTTCACTTTCCACGTTACTCCCAACAACAAAGAATATAAACAGAGGCTCTACGCCCCTTCCAACCTCCCATGAGAGGGAAGAAAGCACAGAAACAACTCCTGTAACAACCAAGGGGCCGGAAGTCACGCAAGAAATTTCAGAACTTTTAACTGCCTCGGGTGATAAAGAGAATATGCTATCCTTAAGTGCGCTTTCCACAGCACCTCCAACAATGGAGACAAACATATCCTTTGAGCCTGTCTCAGTGTCAAATCAGAATGAAAACACGAGAACTTCCACAACGACTGGAGAACCGGATTCCACGGAAAAATCTTCGGAATTTCCAACTGCCTCGAGTGAAAAAAAGGCTACGCTTTCCTCAAGTGCACTCTCCACAGCATCTCCAACAATTACACACATATCCTTTGAGCCCATCTCAGTGACGGAGCTGGATAAAAGCGCGAAGACTTCTGCAGCAACCCGGGAACCAGAGGCCACGCAAAAGACTTCAAAGCTACTAACTGCCTCGGGTGATAGAGGTGGTACGCTACCCGCAAGTGCACTCTCCACAGCATCTCCAACAATGGAGACACGCATATCCTCTGAGCCTGTCTCAGTGACGGAGAAGGATGAAAGCACGAAGACTTCTACAACGATTGGAGAACCGGAGACCATGCAAGGGACTTCAGAACCTCCAACACTAGCACCGATTGAGGGACGTACACAATCTTCGAGTGCACTTCAGTCATCTCCACCAGCGGAAAAAACCTCTCACCCCATCTCAGTCACTCAAAATCCAGAAGAAAGCACAGAAACTTCTACGACTGCTAGAGAAGCGGAAGTCGTGCAGGAGACTGAACCTTCAACACTAGCTCCGAGTGAAAGAGAGCGTTTGTCATCACCAACTGCACTTCCCACAGTACTTTCAAAAACGGGGAAAACCAGACAGTTCCCCACTGAACCCACCTCAGCCCCTCGTGAGCAAGACGGCAAGAGTTCTACACCAGCGGGAGAACCAGAGGCTACGCAAGAGTCCAGACGTTCAACACAAGCTATGAGTGAAGAGCTTGAGCCATCTACCACTGCAGTTCCCAAGTCATCTCTAATGACAGAGACCACACACAGAACTTCTGAGCCCCTTCCAACCACCCACGAGGAAGAGGGCACAAAACCTTCTGTAACAACTAAAGAACAGCAGACCATGCAAAGTACTTCAGAACGTTCTATACGAACGAGCAAAAAGGAGAGTTTGTCAACTTCAACCGCACTTCCCACGGCACCTCCAAGATTAAGTATGACCACAAAGATTACTGAGCATACCTCAACCACTCGGCAAGACGGCAAAAGAAGTACATCAGCGGGAAAACCTCAGGCCACACAAGGAACTTCGGAGCGTCCAACGATAGCACTTAAGGAAATGGAGCATACGCCATCTCCAAGTGCTCTTCCCAGAGTATCTACAACAAGGGCAACAACTACACGCCCTTTTGAGCACAGTTCAACCACCGTCCTTGACCAGAAAGAGGGTATAAAACCTTCTACAGAAGCCAGAGGGCCAGAAACCACGCAAGAAACTCTGAAACTTCCAACAGAGACGCTAGAGCAGCGGAATACGCCGAGTCCAAGGGCAACTTCAACGTCATCTGAGCCAGATGTTACGCGGAGAACGGAATCTACCCCCGTAAACATTGAGAACGAGGGAACTGTAAGCTCAGGCACGCCATCAGGTTCGGGTACCACGCAATGGCCCCGCGATCCTCCCACGATAGGATTGAAAGAAAAGGAACCCATCTTGAGTTCCAGTGCACCCACAGAAACCCATGTGATGGAAACTACGCAGAGACCTGCTGAGCTTACTACATTCAGTGAGGTGGAGAGTGAGTCGAGCTTCTCTGAAGCTCCTGGGGTTTCAACAGAACTAATCATAACATCTCCCATAAAATCTACCATATCGGATTCGAGCACAGCAGCGCACATGACCTCGAGTACGTCTTCTACATCTAGAATAACAGAGCTCTCACACAGTGCCACGACTACCGCTGGTCCTAGAGATGAACTTGGTATAAGCTCACAAACTCCTGCCGTGGGCAAGACCACCCAGATTATCACAGAACTTCCTACTACTCAAATAAAGAAAACTACCCAAGGCTTTTCAGAGCTTGATATAGTTAAAACCACCCAGGAAGTTGATGAATCCACTGAAAGATTAAGAGAGGAAAGTACAGCTAATCCTAGCGTACTTCTAACTAGTAGACCTCGTGAATTAGAAATCACGCAAGAGCCTAGCGAGCACATAACAGAAAGTTCTGGAGATAATTCTATTCCTGAATCTGGAGTGAATACTGTATCACCAGATGAGAGCACTAGAACAGAACCAGGCGAAGGTTTGACATCATCCTTTATTTCTCGCGAAAAAGCTGGGAAAACCACGCAGACTCCAACAGTGCAATCTACGGTAAAGACTGGATCAAGTACTACACCGCATGGGGAGTTGAAGGAAGGGAGTACATCACAATCAGAGAAAAGTCTCACAGAACAACCTAATGAGTCTTCCACTGATGCTGCAAGAGTCGCAGACGTTGAAATGCCTGTTCAAAGACAAACTTCTCTAGCAATACAGGAGACAGCACAAACTACTAAACAACCTATTCAAGTTCGTGCGGGTGGGTCGACAGTAGCCCTTTCGTCAAGTTCCAAAAGTAAGGAAACACCCGAATCTATGGAGCCTCCCACTAGTGCTCCAACAACGTTAGTTACTGAGGATGTAGTAAAAGGTGATACTCTTTCACCAAGACCAGAGGGTGGATCCCAAACAATCCAACCTCCTATTAAAGAACGTAAGGGTGAGCAAGACACATCCGTAGGACCAGAAAGTACACCGTTCTTTGGGATATCCAAAGAGAAAAAGGTGGAACTGGGAAAATCGACACAACCGACCTCAGCAGTGCCACACATACAGACTACACCAAAGGTTAATGAACCAGAGCAGAGAGAAACACGAAAAGAGTCAAGTGAGACTACGCCTTCTAGTAGTCCACTCGATCATGGACCAGATACTACGCTGAGATCTGGTGTGCATACTGTAGCTATAGAAGAGATCACAATGAGGCCTTCAGAAGAAAAAGGCACATTAGAACCAAATGAATCGGAAAGGTCAGGAGAAGCCGTGTCTTCCACTTCGAGCTTGGGGAAGACGGAAACAACGAAAAGAACAAGCGAAGGATTTACCGGAGTAGCAAAGGTAGAGACTACCCGTATGAAGTCAGAGAAGACAGAGACAACGACAAGAGCTGGCCAAGGGTTCACCACCAAAGCAAGAACAGAAACTAACCATATAAGCTCAGATGAGATGAAGACAACGGAAACAGCAAGCCAAGTATCTACCGGAGAAACA